ATTCTGTACTCCAAGGCCAAATTTGCCTGTTACACCAGGTGTTTCTTGACTTCCTACTTTTGCATTCCAGTGCCCTATAATGAAAAGGACATCTTTTTTGGGTGTTAGTTCTAAAAGGTCTTGTAGGTCTTCATAAAACCATTCAACTTCAACTTCTTCAGCGTTACTGGTCAGGAAACCTGATGCAAAGAGCTGACTTATTTGAAAAGACCCTGATGTTGGGAAAGATTGAGGGTGGTGGGGAGACAGGGGTGACAGATGATGGGATGGCTGGATGGCATCACCAACTCAATGGACATGAGTTTGGGTAGACTCCGGAAATTGGTGATGGACAGGGAGGCCTGGCGTGCTGTGGTTCATGGGGTTGTGAAGAGTTGAACACGACTGAGTGACTGAACTGAACAGAAAAAAATATGATGTAAGTTAACTCTAATTCAATCAAAATATTATAAAACAAAACAGTAAGTCACTGAGGTCAGATTTTCTGTTTCTTGCAAATGTATGTATATAGGTACTATATTCGAGGCACTGAGTGTGTGACAGCCTTCATCAATCAGAACTTCAGTGTCTACCTCAGCTACCCAGAACTACCTAATCTGGGATCTCACCATCCCTTGGGGAGCCTATATCTTGTGTCTAATCAAAGTGGAGGAAGAAGACTCAGTCATTTGTGGCCAACGTAGGGATACTCCGATAGGTAATACTTACTTCAGAGCCACCCACCCCCCACCCCCAGGTTGATGGAGGGTTTGTTGGGCTAGCATTGCGTTAATGGCCTTGAAAGCCAGTAGCAAGGAAAAAGACTTCTAGTGGGTAGAATTTTGGGAACTGCATCTGGTTATCATTGGTATAAAAAGATAATTGGCCAAGGGAGGGAGTCAGGGTGATATAGGGGTAGGGGGAACTAAGAGATACAAGCTATTATGTATAAAATAAGCTATAAGAATATATTGTACAACACAGTGAACATAGTCAAATCTTAAAATAACTGTAAATGGAGTATAACCTTTAAAATTTGTGAATCACAAATATTGTACACCTGAAGGTATATTGTATATCAACTATACTTCAACAAAAAACTCACCATGATAAAGAGATAAAGGGTAAACAAAGGAGGAACAATAGATGAATGTGAGAAAGAATGAAGTAGAAGAAAAATGAGGCAAGACAGAGATAGAGTGGGGATGAGAGAGAGAGAGGAGTAAAAGAGAAAATACTTCTCTGTAAAAGTACTTCTTTATTATGTAAAAAAAGAAATCACACATTTTGAGGCACCAATGAAAGATGAAGAAAATATTGGCAGCACATATTAAAAAGTTTCAAAATCCATCGAGTTCCAACACATAAAAAAGGAAATAAAGATTGGGGTGACCTTTTTATTTCTTTTACGTATTATTTTTGACTGTGCTGGGCCTTTGGTCCAGCACATGGCCTCTGCATTGCTGTGCATGGACTTCCTCTACTTGTGATTTACTGGCTTCTCACTGCGGTGGCTTCTTCTGTTCTGGCTCTTGGGCTCTAGACTGCGGGCTCATAAGTTGTGGTGCATGGGCTTAGTTGCCCCATGACATGTGTGATCTTAGTTCCCGAACCAAGGATCAAACCCATGTGCCCTGCATTGCAGAGCAGATTCTTAACCACTAGACCATCAGGGCAGTCCCTGACCTTTTTATTTCTTATGCAATTAGTGGGTAAGCTATTTAACAATTTTAAAAAAGGTATCAAGGAGACAGTACTCTGGATGTGCTGTTCATGAAGGCAGAATTGCCCATGGATGGGTCAGATTTGGACCTTTGGATACCCTATCTTTCCCTGTCTTTCCTCCAAGAAGCATTTCCAATCCTAGTGAGTAACTGATATCATCAGATGCTAATTATTAGTCCATATTCTATTTTATTGATGAAATATAGAGAATATAGTTATAACAAGCACTGAGGAGTTCCTGTTTGTCATCACATTTTTCCCCAGTGGGGAAGTTCCCAAGGTAGCTGAAGTCAGTGTCAGTAGCTTTTTGAACAAAGGCAGTTAGACCCACAGCATCTTTTAAAAGGTGTTTTTGGAACCTGTAGAGAAAAGTTCAAAGAGCCCAGGTTTGAGGGCATAGAAAGATCAGGATCTGATTCTCAGTTATAACAGTAATTAGAACAGTTTTCTCATTCTCTCTGGACCTCAGTGTTTTATTTCATTTCAAAGAGGTAATGATTTTAAAGGATTGATGTGGAGGATTAAGTGGGAATTCCTGGCAGTGCAAATGCAGGAGCTCCCATCACCAGGATATCAAAAACCTGAGGTTGGCTGTTGCTTCTTCCTTGTAGTATGCTATTGACCTTGACCCAATTTCCATCTCCATGCAAACCACATGGACCTATTAACACATATCTTCCCTCAGAATGTCCAGCTGTAATTCAGCATGAACTAGCAACTTTTATGGTTCACATTTGAGATCTGAAGATGCACACAGTTACTCTGGTTGAATTTGGGTGCTTTCCAGGTTTCCCAAGGACCACATGTACAATGCAAAGGTACACATGTCTCAGGAAGGATTACTCTGGAAAGTGCTGTTTATTACTCCTGGACTGTTGTTTAGTCTCTTCCAGGAGCCTTTTCTCATTTTATTCCAATTTTTATTTATTTGAGAAATTCTTTTAGAAATCTGTGATGTTCCAAGCACTGTGTAAAGGATTGGGATACATGTGTTAATAATATCTGGTTCTAGAGATGAAGTGCAAGGAATACAGACATTTCATTAAAACTGTGATCAGTGTTAGAATTATATCTAACATATGTCACTCTCTGAATCACAGTATCTCCTTGAGATAGTGTTAGGGGAAATTTCCTTAGTGTTTTTAAGAAGAAACTTCTACTCTCAGGAGAGAAGTGAATTAGGACAGGAATATTTTGAGCCACTGTCCTGACAAAGCAAGTCCCAGATCTGGGTGTGAAGTTTGTGCACAGGTTCAGCTTTCTTTTCTTCCTCCTTGTTGGAACGGGCCTACAATTGTCCAGTTTCTACAGGGAGAAAAGTTTAATACAATGGAGACAGTGGTGGTAGGAGGAATGGTTGCAAGACTTATTCTGACAAACGGTTAAAGCCTGTCCTGGGAGTCACCTTCTATGGTGATAAAAGTTTGTTTTGTGTTCATTCTTCCCATTCTTCTGTTGACTATTTTTGTCTGCAGTTAACATGTACATTGCTTTCTATGTGTTAGGTTGTTTGTTTTTCATGTTACTCAAATATCCTACATTCTTGCTGATTTTTGTATCTGCCTATTTGATTAGAACTTGAGTAAGAAATGCATGAATATCTGCCAAACGACTGTGGCTTTGTTTGTCTTTTTAGTTCTATTAGTACTTGATTTATGTATTTTAAAACAATGTAATTAGACAGACATAAACTTAGAACTGGTACATTTTCACATAGGTTGATCCTTTTGTAATAAAAAAAAAAACCCACACCTTTGAATCTGTAGAGATGTTTCTTGCTTTAAAATAACTGCCAAATATTAGTATAAAAAATGTATTAATATTTGCATTGTGTAAATATTTCCAGTGTTTTACTTTCAAGTATTCTATATCCTTGTGTTTAAGATATGTCTTTTTTAATAAATATATAGTCAATTTATTTTTAATTTGTGCTACTAATCTTTGTTATTTTAATTGAAATATTTAATTCACTTACTTTTAAAGTAACTAGTAGTCTATTTTTATTTCTATGTACAATTTCTTCATTTCTATCAACTTCACTTGGGGTAATTTTTTTATTATTTTTCTTTTATTACTTTATTACCTATATGTTCTTTCACTATGTTTTCTGTCATTGTCCTAGAGGATTCAGCTCCATTTACCATGTCCCACATTATTGAGCATTATTGTTATGTATTTTAATTCTAAATATATTCTCTCTGTGTTTTATATTCTATAAGCTTTATCTTTATTTATATACTCAGTGTTCATTTAGATTTCCCCACCTATTGCTTCTCATTCCTTCCAGTTTCCCCAAGCCCCTATCATTTCTTCTGCCTGAAGTTCTCCTTTTATTCTTTCCTTGAGTGTAGAATTGAACATGGAAAATACTTTCATATTTTCTCTGTTAAAATGTCTTTTAACTTTTATTTTTCAAGGATATTTTCACCAAGTATAGAAGTCTAGGGTAGTCATTGTTTTATTCAATATCTTGAATATGTCATTTCAGTTTTTTTCCGGTTCCCATCTTTTCTCTTATATAATCAGCTGTCACTGTTGCTAGTGTTGATACTCATTTGAAATATCTACCTGCCTATCTGTGTATCTGTCTGTCCCTTTCCCACTGAACTTGAGCTGAAGGAAAAACACATGCCTCTCCACCCTAGGGAGGTGGTGAAGAGATGGCTCAGCACTCTTCTGACTGTGCAGTCAAGCTCCCATCCTGCCATTTCCACTTCAGCCATTTCGTATTTTCAAGTGAGACCTCCCACATTCTTTATTTGATCTCCTCTGACATTATCTAGATTTACAATATGCCAAGAAAGGAAATTTTTGAGAAACTACATAATTAATATTACAGTACAACTTATGGGTTTAGACTTACTGAGTAATTGGTATTTAATTTTCTATAGTTTTCCCTTTTCTCCCCAAATATTGTGTGATAAACATTTAATACATTTGCAACAGAATTTTTAGTTTTTTTTTTAAAAAAGTGACATTAAAATCATTACCTTGAAATGTACCCCCGAAATCTGTGAAATGGTTCAGTGCCTAAATTGTAACTGAATACCAAAATTATTTTGTCTTAATAACAAATCAGTCTTCTTCCTCATCATTTCTTAGTTTTCCTAAGTGTCTCTTAATTAAATTTATGATTTCCTATGTATTTAAATAAAATCTGAAGTCTTTTAAGGATCCACTGAATTAATCACAAAATGTATCACTTTGGGCATCTTTCAGATATGCAGAACTTGTTTATTTCATGTGATGTCACTGACTAATGTCCATCTGCTTTTGCCTTTTTTCTCCTCCTTCAGATGGATGGAGCACCGCGGAAATTTGCTGAAGGCTGCTAGCCAGGAGACTCAAGAAGGAATTGTTAAAAAGGAGAACTATCCAAACATTGTCCTCTCCCTTTGGAGCCTAAACAGGAAAGAAAACTCTTAGGTAAATAATAATCAGTGTTCTGGGTGCTCAAACACCCTAAGAAGGGTATTGTCTGAACTGGGAGAACTGTGGCTTTGGCTACGCATTCAGTGAACCAAGGTCTATGAGGTTCAAGTTCAGAGAAATGGATTTCTGCCACTGCAGACTCATTAGAGCTGATGCTATCACAGAGCTAACAGGAAAACCTTATGTTCACCTCAGGGCTGCCAACTGTCCAGCCGCCATCCGCATCAGCAGTGGCAAGAGCACTCTGAATTTGGGCTAGAGAAAGCGTCGCGAGAGCCAGGCTAGTCAATGAGCCCAATCATGATAATGCTAATAATAGCAAACCTTTATTGAGCCCTTTGCTGTGAGCCAGCACTGCTGAGAGCAGTCTGTGTGCATCACCCCGTTTAATCCTCACTACTCCCGTCATAAAGCTGGAGCTGTTACGAAGACTGTTTTGCACGTAAGAAATGAGGCTCAGACATGTTACGTAATTTGTCTGTGATCACTCAGCTGGAGAGGAGTAGAGTGGGTTTTGCACTCAGGTCTTGCTGCTGCCCAGAACCCCACCGCTTGGTTTTTCTACCTTTGAAGTCCAGTCTCGCAGCAGGGCACTCTGCTCCTCCAGGATGTGGCCAGGAGCAGCCTGCCCACCACCCACTCCCACCTGATCCACCTAAAGCCTCTGTTCTCTGGCCCTACCAGGTCAGACTCGACTCCCTGTCCACATCTTGCTCTTCTAAGATTCTTTGCTTTTTCTCATTGTGCGTAGTTGCTCAGTCATGTCAGATTCTTTGCAACCTCATGGACTATAGCCCCCCAGGCTCCTCTGTCCATGGGATTCTCCAGGCAAGAATACTGGAGTGGGTTGCCATTCCCTTCTCCAGGAGATTTTCCTCATCTAGGGGTCAGACTCGTGTCTCGGGTCTCTTGAATTGCAGGTGATTCTCTACTGTCTGAGCTACCAGGGAAGCCCACTTTTGCTCATTACTTGTCTCATAAAAGTATTTTCCCTTTTCCCTGCCAAACCAACTCAATTATCCATTAATCCTCTGTGCAGATGTCACTTCCTTTGTGAATCCTTTCTCAGCTTCCTCTTCCTAGCTCTTGGCGTCCTTGACTGTTCTTTTAGCACCGAGTTCACGTGTCAGCACAGAGGTTAGCAAACTATGGCCTGAAAGTCAAATTCAGGCCTGCTTCCTGTATGACCCACAAGCTAAAAATAATTTTTAAATATCTGGAGGAAAAAAGTCAAAGGGAGAATGTTTTGTCGCACGTGAAAACTATATGGAATACACACTTCAGTGGACATGAAGGGAGTTTTATTGGTTACATGGCCACACTCACTGATGGACATACTGTCAGTGACTGCTAGTGTCCCACAGTGGAAGAGGTGAATAGTTGAAACAAAGACATAGGGTTCAATGTCTAAAATATTTGCTGTTTGGCTCTTTATACAGAAACAGTTTGCTAACTCGTGCATTGAAGCACTAGAAGGTAGTGTTTTGGAAGAATGAATAGCCATGTGTTGCTGATTATTATACTGTCTGTCCCCAGCACAGGGCTCTTCTCTTAGGGGCTAATAATTTAATGAACATATGCATGAAAGTTAAATGAGTGTGAAGGATAGATTCTCTACCAAGAACCAGGAGTCTTGCATTCCAGTATCATTTCTGTCACTTATTGTTATCTGGCAGAAAACTCAAAGTAGGATAATTTGATAAACATTTTTCACCAAGGGACAGTGCAGTGATTCAGAGACAGTAGCAGCGAACATGTCACCCTCTGTCACCTGGAAGGGTACAGAGATGGGAGTGGGTTCAGAATTCAATAAAGTCACTTTGAGTTAGCCCCTTTGGGTCACTAGTAGCTTCTGTAGAGTCAGCAGCTGATAGGATCCCCTCAGGGAAGAAGCTAAGAAAAGAAATGTCCTGATCTCTTTCTCCTCCCTCTTCCTGCCTTTTGCTAGGTCTCCCTGTTGGTGGAACCCATCCGAGCACTGGAGCCTTGTCAATATCGTGGCTGGAAGTTGGTTCCTGGAAGACAGAGAAGGATGGAGAAGATGGCAATCTGGAAGAGCAAGGTAGAACGACCTACACACAAACTTAGCGACAAATCACATCTACTCCTGAGGCTTTGAGTTCTTCACTTATACAATTGGCAAGTTGGATTATAAAATGTTTATAATAAATAACTAAAATAGCAACACAGAAATTATTTGTTGTTGCTTTATTCTGAACCATGCACTCATTTTGTCAAATAGTCTTCAGAGTAAATATTGGGTTAGCCAAAAAATTTGCTTGCATTTTTCCATAATATCTTATGGACGAACCAGAACAAACATTTTGGCCAACCTTATGTTATTCCATCATACAAATGAGAAAACTGAGGCTCAGAGAGAGATTAAAGGATACTCATTCACACAGTGGCTAAATTGTGCCACCAACCCCCTCCTCCCAAATATACTTTGCTGAAGTATCTCCCTCATTTTTACTTATCAAAACAGTGGTTGTATTATTTGGGATAACAGCTGTTTGGGGTTTCTGCTGTATTTAAAATTAAGCTCAACCCTAACTCATTAGCTTTAGGTTACTTGATTAACTCTTATGGATTCACTGAATCCACAGAGCTCTCCCTGATCTCATTCCTAGATTCCCGTGGACACCAATTTCAGCCAGAGTCCTCCCAGAAAGATCTCAACTTCCAAGGAAACATGCCCTTCCTCCCACTCCATCCCATAACCTCTTTCTTGTTACTGTCATAACATAAAACTTGGGCAGGAGTCCTGGTAACAGAAATCTCATAAATAGAATTAGTCTAATGACAGATGTACTGAGTTCTTCCAAGAAACATGTCGAAGGCTGAGTGTTATAGGTCTGAACCCTGGTAGGTTTATTTATCCTGGGCAATTTGCTCAACGCTGGAACCCTTGTACATCATAGCATGGATGTGATCTCTTAATTATTCATGCCATTAATAATTGACACCATTAATAACACTGTAATACCATTAATAATTGAGTACCTAAAATGGAATTCTCTGGAATTAATTTGTTATTATTAATTTTCTGTGCCAGCTAGCAGGGCTCATTAGAATGGTGGTCAGGGTCTGTACACCAGATTATTTTAACTAGTCATCTTCAGGTTTAAAAGGCCATGAAGTGCAGAATTCACTTCAACCACTTCCTTTCCTTGCCATTAACAGACCTAACATTCATCTTTTCTCCCTCTAGGAAAGGTGGAAAGCTTCTGTGAACACCTCTATAGAATTCAGTGCATCTCACTGCTGGCTTATAAAGTGGGGCCTAATAAGAAGGGGAGGAAAACTGCCTTTCAGAGTACAAATTATTGCATCAAACCTGTCCCTAGGCTACCAGTCCTTCCAGGCAGGGTCCAGGGCTCAGTCTCTTTCCCACTGTAAAACTGAGAACTGTTGCTGCTCCTCTTTCCAAAGTTTTGGCCACTGGTCTCTTCTCCAGGATGCCCCCTTTCTTAAACTGGCCAGAGAAAAATATTCCTATACACCCCCAACCTCTCCTGGATGCTATCCCTTGAGACAAACCCCTTGTCTCTTTTCAGTGACAGAGCCCATTTTAATAGAGAACTGGAAGGAGAATTATCTACATGGGTCAGGTTCACAGGCTCAATTCTTTTGATTTTACAGAGCTCCGATTCTCTTGCAAGGTACTGAAATTCATCCGGCCGAACTTCCTTGTCTACAAGACAGTGGACTAACTATCGCAAAGCAAAGAGTGGTACCCATGGAGAGGCACTGTCCAGGTGCCCATTCTAGGAAGGACCTGATACCCAGAGGAGGTTCAGCAGACAGATGCCAGCTCTCAGCACCTTCAGGGTCTGCTCAGGTGCGGAGAACTGCCTTCTCAGGTAGGATGACCAGCTCATTTGGTTTCTTCGTACTAAATGTCTGGCATCACAGGGTGGGCCTCTGGGTTAGCATTTGACCCCATGGGCATATCCTTACAAGGACAGATGTTTGTGCTCAGGGTCTGACAAGGACGAAGTTTTGGGTATATTGGAACAATGGAACCATAGTGATTTCATTCTTCTGCACCTTCCTCTCCCCAGCTGAGCTGAGTACAGCTGGCCCTAAGCCCACTGGGATCCTCTGACAAGAAAATTAATATGGTATATTACTCCTGTGAACTCCCATAACACTCTATTACTTTCTAATGGTGTTCTCCACATCCCAGCTTTTATTATTGCTGGAACTTGTCTTCTCTTTCCTGGACTTGTAAGCCTCAGACCCCTTGCCCCAGTGACTAGCATGTTTGTGTGCGGGCAAAAAAAAAAAAAAAATGAGCCAATGGATGGTACGTTGCAACCTATGTGCCCTCTCTATATGCCTATTAAACTTTAAGAGGGCTTCCAACTGGGAGGGGTTAAACATATATGAAGAACTGTGACATCAAGAATCTACGTTGTTCTCACACCTCCACCTGAAATCTGAAGGCTCATTTTGCTTAGCTCTTAGGTTTGTTTGTGCATGGATAAATATGTTAAATAATAGATGCAAGGTCATTTCAGGAATTATTTGTATGATAGGTTAAGCCTGGAAATATTGTGTCTTTGTTTAAACATAATCTAATCCAGTCTTGGATATAAATGTGTCAAAATTGCTATTCTAAATTGTAAATGTTTTGTGATAAATAACCTAATACTGTCTAGTAGCAGATACTTATTACTAATCTTCTCTGAGTGAGTTGAATGGTTCATTTAGCTTTTTAGGATCTTTGAAAGTCTTATCTGTGCATATTGGAGTCTTTTTCTCTTGTGTCCCTGGAGGTAGGTATAAATAGATTCCATCATGTGCTCTCAAATGCAAATTGTGACTGTTTTTCCATCTCTTTGACCTTGTTTAACCCTCCTTCTGGATTTAGTCTTCCTGATTAACCAGAGGGGAAAAATTCATAGTATCACCTGGATGCTTTGATGAAGGATACCAAACCCCTGTGATAGAAATCATCTTCTCCCTGGTGAAACTTATCAACTATTAATTAGTTCACTCGGCTGACCCGGGATCCATCTGCATCAGATGATATTAAATGTTAGAGGAAAAGGAAACGTCTGGGACCCAGAGGCCCATGAATTTGAAACTCTTTGCCTTCCTGCTACTTAGGTTTGCATTCTAAATTAAGTTTAAAACTCAGCACTAACTGAAAAGACTAGGTCTTATATTAGCAGGTGCTGTCATCTGGCATAGTAAACGTTGATTCATTTATGTGTTTATTGCCTATCTTCCTTCAGTATAAATAACTTCTGTATGGTTAGGGATTTTGGGGACCAGGACTTGGACAGCAATTTTTTTTTATTTGTTGAGTCAATAGATGATGAATTTCTGAATGTTCAAACTCATACAGTCTGAAGTGGAAGGGATTCTCAAAGCCATCTAGCCTAACTTGCATTCTGTACCTGGCTTAATGGTTGCTATCTTAAATATATACCATTCCAGAAAGGGGGGCTCACCGTCTGCCAGACAGGCAACTCAGTTATTTTGGTTTGTGACACTGAATAAATTTACTCACAGGGAACTTTGTTTATGAAGTCACAGCTGTTTCTAGTTACAATGGACTGAGCCTTTGGTTCAGTTCAGTCACTTGGTCATGTCCGACTCTTGGCAATCCCATAGACTACAGCATGCCAGGCTTCCTTGTCCATTACCAACTCCTGGAGCTTGCTGAAATTCATGCTCATCGAGTTGGTAATGCCATACAACCATCTCATCCTCTGTTGTCCCCTTATCCTCCTGCCTTCAATATTTCCCAGCATCAGGGTCTTTTCAATGAGTCAGTTCTTTGCATCAGGTGGCCAAAGTATTAGAGCTTCAGCATCAGTCCTTTCAATGAATATTCAGGACTGATTTCCTTTAGGATTGACTGGTTTGATCTCCTTGCAGTCCAAGGGACTCTCAGGAGTCTTCTCCAACACCACAGTTCAAAAGCATCAATCCTTTGGCACTCAGCTTTCTTTATGGTCCAGCTCTCACATCCACACATGACTACTGGAAAAACCATAGCTTTGAGTAGATAGACGGAATGAACCTTACAACCCCTCTATAGATTTAGTACTTTTTGTAAAGTCAAATGCAATTTTTTATAAACATTTATTAAATCCCTTTTATATTCTAGGTGCTGTGTTTACAGTAGTTCACAGAATACTGTAGTGTATTATGTGTTATTACATTTGTTTGTGTACCAATCACCTGGATGAGCCAGATGAACTTCAGAGAGGGTCTTATGAAAGCACTCAGCTAAAAAGCATCAGAGAATTCAGTTCTTATTAGTGTTCTTATGCCCATTGCTCAAATAATGAGTGATGCTTGCCGAACACTTACACAGCTCACCAAATGCTCTAGCATGTCTATCTTTCTCAAAATGTATTAACACTCATAAATAAGGAAGGCGTTATTCACTCTGAAATTGGAGCTTGAGAGGCAATAGTGGAATTGAGTTAAAACAAATCAACTAGAAACAGATTTCAGTTTTAACACTCACACTATACCATTACAAAAATTGTCTGATCCTCACACTCTTTCAAAAAATTAGCATTTCGGTCACTTGATAACCACCTTCTTATTGTATTCCTATCATAAGCCAAGGCTGGAACTGAAGGGGGAAAGATGAGCAAAGTGTAGACCTTTCCTGCTGTGGGGTCACAGTCTTGTTGGAGAAAGAGAGACATTCAAAGAAAGGTTTAGAAACATCATGGTAGAAGGTAACAGATGTCAGATTTGCTTTGGGAAACCAGGGTCAGGCAGATGGTTCATCCTTCTAGTCTTTGCAGCTAGTTGTGAACATACCTTTTTTCCCTGGAAGATGGTTAATACATTGAAGAAAAGATATAGTGTCTGGGATGTTCTGACATCTTCTTAGCATATCCACGGGACTTTGCCCAAAGTTGGTGCCAGTGATAGTGGTATTGGTGTATGATATATGCAGCTTTTAGACCATGGCATAGCCAATCAGATGTTCAAATAAATAAATAAGCCTACATATAACTCTACATGTAATAGATCTGGGCTGTTTTAAAAGTGGCTCCCCATGAAAGGACTGTTTGAGGTGTCTGAGTAATGCAGCAGAGACGTGGACTGTTGTATCAAGGGCTGGGACCTGGAGAGGAAAGGTGTAGTGAGAGGCAGGCCAGGTCACTGATGCTGCAGGTGGTGGATGCCCATGGAATTTCTGATGAATTTAGGGAAACTCTTCAAGGAGAAGTCATCCGTATGAGACTCTGCCACCCCAGAGGACACACAATGATCAGATGCTGTCCAAGCCTGTCTCAACTCTGGGGCAGCCTGAAGCAGCTTGTGAAGGAGAAAAAGGAAAAGAAGGAGGCTGACCGTGTACATATGCCTCACCAAGGGCTCCAAGGCATGAAGCAGGACCCCACATTGGCCTAGAAGGGAAATCTGAAATTGTATTAGTGGGTGGTGTTGTGTACTGAACTGGATAGTTTAATTATTGAAATGTGATAGTTTTCATACCTGAAGATGACTTGAGAGTATATATATATGTGTGTGTGTGTATGTGTGTATATGTATGCACACACATACATGTGTGTGTATGTATGAATTGGAGATGACCTGGAAAAGTTAAAGGCTTGTCTCTACAAGTCCAGTGTACATATTTAAAGGGACAACCAAAACAAAGAAGAAAGCTACTTTCTGTTTTACACTGGAGTCCATCGTGATAATGCAAACTTGCTTCTGTTCAGAGTGCCCACTGCCTCGATCAAAGCTTGTGGTCAAGCAAATGCCGAACACTGTTTTTGCTTTTTGCCTTTTTTTGTAAGAGTGGAACTCCTAATTTCTTGTGGTTAGTTCTTGTGGAAACAGTTATTGGAGTAGGTCTTCAGTAAAAGTGAAGCGGCGGAAAGCTGATTTTTGAAAAGCAGGGGATACCTGTAATACAGGTTACACAATTTTGAATCTTATTTTGTTATTTAAGTTTATAACAGGAGCACTTCCTCATAGTCAAAAGAATCTACATAACTATTTCATGGCTGCACAACAATCCATTTGATGCATGTGCTTCCCCAATGATTTTGGGAATGTTTGGATGGTTCCAAGTAATTTACATTTTATGCTCAGAATTACACATGTACAACCATATAAGGCATTTGGAACAAGTGAAGTTGAGTTTTAATTCTTTTTTCATAAAGCATTGAAAATTAAGTGAATATTACCACTCACCCAGGGGAATGGACCTGAAAATTAGATTTTCAAGAAATGTGGGCTTCTTGCACACAATGGGTTGATTGTCCCACTTGAATGAACTTCTTCAGGATGATGCTAGACGGGAAATAGGAGGAGGTTGTGTCCTGCTCAGAGCAGGGCTCCCAGCTTTCCAATTAGCTCTACCACAGCTCCCATAGAAGATAGCAGGGATGCTGAGGATTTAAGAGTGAATACATCCTCTGAATTATTTTGATTCCAAGGTAGATAGTACAGGTGACCTAAGAAAACCCCTTTCTCCCAAAAGTCACTGGACATGTCCTGCTTCACTGAGCCCCAGGACCCTCATTGTTTCATTAGGGTGGTCAAAGAACCTTGACTTGTGAGCAAGAGCCTCATTAACCCGTTAAGCAGATGAAGAAACCGAGGCTCAGAACTTTTCCAAACTCAGTCTACTGTTGGGTAGCAGCACCTGAGGACCAGAACCTAGGCCTTCTCTCTCTTAGTTCTTTCTATATATTCATATATATAATTCATCTACTATAAATATAATTCATATTTATATGGAATCTTGATATTATTTGCAATAATCTGGTATTTATGTATACAGATAGAAACTCTTGACACTATTTGTGATAATCTGGGGTTGGAATTGTTTGCTTGGATAATGAAGGCCCTGGAATGCAATGTGGCC